GAAGTCTAAGTCCGGCCCTGACTAAGAGAATCTCATGCAAGCATTACTATTAAATGATGAGAATTAATTTTATAGAACGAACTAAAGAAATCAAATATTTATATAAGACCTCTAAGTTTATAATATGATTAATTTTATAAGAACTGAAATACATTTTGATTTTTTTATAGTGTTTCATTTAAATATTGCATGTGGAATACATTAAACATAATATCGGTACTTATTCTTATTAAAAATTATTGTATATGCACAATTAAATAAGTTAATCGGATATATAATTATTAAAAGCTTTAACAATATTATTAATTAAAGTAAATTAACAGTAGGGCTACGAAATAGGACATTTTATCATAAATCTATCAATATACAGTATGAACAGTACTTATATTATTGAAGAAACATAAGAAATAAAGGCCTTTCCAATAAAATCTATATTAAAATATTTCCAAGAAAATTCTCGACGTATTGTTAAAATACAGTATTTGTTTGGAACATGATTGGACTAAATATCAATGTGATTCAGAAATTCAGTCACGCGTTGTATATTTGCTTCAGTTGTTGCTATTATTAATAAGAGAGAGTGAATGCTCTGAATCTTTATTTTTATAACAATCATATACGGAAGAAAGAATATTACTATAAAAGGAAGTGATAAAAGATTATGTTCATAAACATATCGAAAACAGAACCCGGATATAATTTTTTAATCTAAACTTAGAAATTTTGAATCAAAAAAGGATCATGCTGGACTGTCCAAGAAACATAATCATAGATTCTCAGCTATGCAAATTAAACTGGTTTTAAAGATAAATGTTATAATTTTATATATTTTTTTTACATTAAATAATTATTAATCCCGGTATCTTCAGAAATAATCTTACGTAACCTACCGTGACGAAGAATTCGGTTATGTTTAATTTTTTTATATATATTTTTAATGTTAGCAAAAAATATATTCAATTCTTAATAACTTATATTTGATTATAGTAAATATTTGCTCTGTCATCAAACATCTATGTGCAAATAAAAATTAACAATTTAAGTGTAAAATTAATTTTAAAATTACTTTATATTCTTTATACTTACAATTGAACGTTTATAAATTTAAATGAATAACTGGATTTATGTTTCTATTGAATGTTATAAGCTTTTCATCAGGCAAATCTAAATTGTAGACAATTGATTTGACCTTTTAATTTGTTTCCGTTGAATGAGAAACAAAATGTGAGGTCATATCAATCTAGGCTTCAATCTCTTTATTTTCAATGATTGGAAACATACTAGTTAAAATGAATGTTATTTATTTTTTAAAAGGAAAATTTCAAAAACTATAAATAACAAATACAACTATATATATATATATATTATGCATTAATTCCGGATGTTGTAAATTATAAAGTAAATAAAATGAAAAAGTTTAATTTTCATGCATCAGTAGATTATTCAGTAATGCGTGTAATCAAACGCCCTAGAACCGGATTGTTGATGCATTGTCTAATTATAATTTTTAATTAATTAAACCTTCGTGGTTTAAACGTGTCAAAATAATTAAAAATATCAATTTTGTCTTTTCAATATAAAAATTGATTTTTTTGTTTTTTATTTATATTAATTAATTAATTAATTAATAATTTGTTTCTATTTAATTATATTTATAACATAAAGACACAGTATTTTTTTTCTTTTTATAATTTAGATTACTGTATTTTATTTATTCAATTGTATCTTTCTTATTCAAAGAATTGAGTATGTCATGTTCAGAAAAAAGAAGATACAAAACCGGGTTCTTGTTGATGAAAATCATCTTCGATTTTTCCGTTCTGACTGGGCTAGATTTTTTAAGCTTGATGCAAGGCTGTCGAAACTACGTTGTATAATAAACGTTTCTTACTTAACAGTGATAAAACAACAAGTTTTTATTTCGTATGAACTCGTGTGCATGATTCATCTTCCATCTCATTCTCTCTTCAATCATTCGAACTAACATATTCGTCATGTTTTTATTTTTTACCACAGATTTTGGTATGGCACAGAAAAAGCAGCTCCCTAGACTATAAAAAGGGATACAAGCTATAAAAAAGACATCATACATTATGCAAAAAGCTTCAAAATTTATTCAATGTCGGATCAGCGCTCCAGCAACCAGTGTCAGGTTTTTGCCTTGAAAACAAGAAATGTTTCTTGTTTTCAAGGCAAAAATCAAGTTTTGGTCAACATATGACGAAGTTACAAGAGACAATAGACAAATATCGTTCGTTAATTTCTTTTATATTTGCAGAATAATCTAGAACAGCGGTCGGAAACCTTTCTCACCTCACGGACCACTAAAGTCACAATTTTGAATCCCGCTGACCATTATCGTGAATTTTTTTAAACGATACAAAATCTGTAGAATAATGATCATAAAAGTTCAATTTTACTATATTAATATGAAACTCGCATGTTTAATTATAACAAATTAATGCAAGCATAAAGTTCATTGCTGCTTGTTTGAAACAAATTTATGGATTCTTCGCGCTTTTCCATTATTTATTGATAACAGTCACTTCGTTTTTGGTTTTAGATTCGAATAAAAAATCCCAATGAGTGAAAAGAACAACTAATCATTTTGCATTTCTATCGTAATACTTCGCGTAACCTTCGGTTGATCAATGTTCAAATTTCTCCACGGACCACCCAAATTTTCTCGCGGACCGCCGGTTGCCGACCGTTGGTCTAGAAGTCAGGAAATTTCTTTTTGTTGATAATGAAATTTGGGGCACTCCTTGGGATTAGTAAAAGGGAAACACAGACGAAAAGGAAATAAGAAAACATCCAAAAATCACCAATTGTAACATCAAATTAAGACGTAAAAAGATTAGGCATGAAATTTAGAGTTAAGATGAGCATTTTTACTTTTTGCTCTTTCTGCTCTATGAGCACTAAAAGGGCCTTTTTCCATACATATTGTAAATTCGGCCAAGCCAGCAAGTCTATAATGGGGGCCAGGGTCCATATTTTGACATATGTGGAACTTGGGTACATGAAGAATTCCTGAAGTGTAAAACTATCTCGGGTCCTTCTAACATGTAGGGCTAAAAATAATTTAAATGTTAATAACGAGTAAAATCGTCATTAAGTTAACGAGTAAAGTCTTTATCTCCCCACTCTTCGACATTTAATACCAAAATTTAATAGTATCAATCACTCTAATACACAAACCTCGTTGCATAATTTCAGAAATTTTCGATAAAAAGCACAGGACTTATTAAGCTTCAAAGAGGAAGAACAAAATAGTGCCTGCCTTCCCCAACACTAACATCTATAGTCTATACACACAGAAAAAATAGAATTTATGATGACAGGTTATAAGGAAAATATGTTTAATGCAAAGAACATAATTAGTAAAGTTATTGTGTATTTTATAATTAATATTTATAATATGACCATGAAGTCCATATACATGCTAACTGAAGGTACTTATATGTTCTCTTTGTACAAATTTAAATTTATTCGATGTTCTAAAAGTCATCTTCCATGTTAATAATTGGAAATCATTAAAAGCAGTTTCAAATAGCTGTTTTTAGACTTCAATAGTTGTAAGACAGTTAAGGAACTTTCTTTTTCATAGAGCAAATTGATCATCTGCATTCAGGCTTACAATCGAATCTAAATACTGTACAAGCAATCAGACTGTACATATACTGAAGCCAGTAGCGTAGCGTAGTGGGAGCGGCAGGGGCGGCCCGCCCCAGGCGGCACTTTTTAGGGGGCGGCAAATTTCACAATAAATAATAATATATTGTAAGAATTTGGACCATTTCATTTCATATCTTCATCCACCTACGATTCGGACCGATTGAAATGAGCACGGACTAGTGTTACCACCCTGACAGTCCGGGAATCGACTCGCCGTCCAGGGACATCGTGCGCAACCTGTCGACCTTTTTTTTTCTTTTTGCTTGTACGATTTATTCGTATATATATATACACCTCCAATATCCATTAGAGCTAAGTCACTTGCGTTACTCCTATCCAAGTCTCCCTAGCCGCTAACTATAATTGATTTAGAACCAGCATTCACTGCACATTATTCTTCGCATTGCAAAGTGACATTCCGTCAGGAACTTCTGTTCGAACAAGCCTCACCTGCCGTTCCGGGTCAGCGATTTTAAAAAGGTGGCAACACTAGCACGGAATTTTTCATTACTTATTCTGTGACGAAACTGAATTTTAGTCTTAATAGAGATACCTAAATGGAGGATTTTCCTCCTCCCCGGGCGGTTGACACCCACGCTACTCCACTGACTGAAGCCACATCAAAAAATAAAACCCAGGTTACAATCTCATGCATAAAAAATTTGCAGCCATTTCATATAATCACCGTATAATCAATTCTGTATTATTAGATATATATTTCTTTTAGAGTATGTTTGAGTACATCAACCTTTATTGCATATACTTTTATTACTGTACTAATAATCAGTGACACATCGAGAGGGAGGCAGGAGGCCCTGGCACCCTCCAAAGAAAAAGTAAAACAAATACAGTACTAGAAAATTTTCCAATCTTTTCCTAATTAAAATTAATTCTTTTTTATTGTGTTCCTGATTTCTATTTCTGTACTACTTGTGAATTAGCAGTCATATAAGGCGGGAATTTTATTGAATTTGCATTAAAAATTTTTTATCTGTTCAACTTGGCTCCCCAAAATTAAATCCTGAGTGTACCACTGCAAATAATATTTATACTTTTTATAATTTGAATAATGTACATAATTTGGAATAGTTGTGTACTCAAAACTCTTAAGTATAATTTAATATAAAAACAAATTTTTGTATATTATCATAAATTACTTTTACAGTTAAATTTATTCATTTTTTTTGATTATTCTACAGATTTATGATTCAAAAAATAATTTACATATTACAAGATTAGCATTAGATACATTTTCTTTAATAAATTATAATTGTTTTATCAAAACAATAATATAAAATGAATTAAGCCATCATTAGAAAAATTTTCCCTAATGTACTTATATAACATTTACAACAAGCATCAGAAACAATAAAATTTCTATATAACAATCTAGTTTTTCATTTGTGATAACTAATCATTCTTAATTAAATTAATATATAGAAATAACAGGGAAAAATTTGGTAATAAATTCTTTAATCAATTAATAATATTTTGTGTATATTTTCTTGTATACAATGATGATACTTTTCAAACAGTTCCAAAATAAACATTATATGATTGCAAAGTTTAAAATTATGAATAGCACTTTCTCTTAAATAATCTAATAACGAATTTTCTTGAGCATGTTTTAAAATATCTTGTTTTAAATGTCTCAAAATTGCAACGGAAAAATATAAAATGCAATCACCATTACATATAGTTAATATTAGCCAATGACATATTTCATTCCAATCTAAATAATTCCAAAAGCATTGACTTGTCCAATTCCAAAATATAACTGATGGTGGGATTCCAGCACTTTGAAAAGCAGAATATATAAATGGTACAGTTTCTTCAAGTATTACCTCAAAGTATTGTGATAAAAATGCATGAATTAGCTGCAATTTTCTATCCTGCTCTAAAGCCTGATCACTAGCTAATATCCAATTATAAATGCAGGATTCACTTTGAATATATGATTTACAGAATTGAAAGCAGACATCTTGATTACCTTTTACTGCTAAGAATAATGTAGCTAAAAAGATATCAAATTCTTCACATTTTTTATTGTTTATTAACAATCTACATGATTTAAGAATATATTCTAAATTTTCTCCATTATTTTCAGAAGTAAATAAGTTTAAGTTGCTTCCATAATGTACTGTAAGTTCTACACCAAATTTTTCATCTTCAGTTAAATCTGATAAAGATGAATGACAACCAAAACTTACATTAGCATTAACAACAGGAATATATTTTATAATTTCTTCTAACAATAAGCTGATCTGTTGACAAGACATATTTCTATTTGTTTTTAGATGATCTAAAAATATATTTCTAAAAAATTTCCATTTGTCATCTATTTGAGTACTTGAAAGAGACAACTGATTATCTATACAATTTTCAGAAGAAGCTATCCAATATTCATTATCAACAGAATCTGCATTGAAAAAAGGCCAAACATTATTTATTGATGATGATATAGATGGGAGTTTTCTTTCATTTGGACCACCAATTAAATGCAATCTGATTAAAACATGATTCCATATTAAAGAATTTTCATCAATAATAATATTACAATCTGAAGAAATATGATTATTCAACAATTTCATTAAGAAATTTGCAATATCAAATTTTTTCTGAAAAAATAAACTTGTTTTTATATTGCATATTAAAAAGGATAAAAGATGTAAACTGATAATATTAATATCAACATTTTCATATAAAGTATCATGTGAATAAAAACAAATTGATTTCCATATATTATCAGCATTTAATACATCTACTTTTGAAAATATATCAGAAAAAATAATTTTAAAAGTTGAATGTGTAAATATTAAGCATTTTAAATGATCAACAGTAGGATAACCAAGTAGAGATTGTTGATCATCAAAATATTTTTCCTGGTTGACATCTTTAGATATTTGCCACATTTTGTTTGGAAATGATAACAGTAAATTTTCCTTATACAGTATTTGCTTACTCAAAGGGTAATATGCAAACAAAAATAAACAAGCTTTATAACAGTTACAGTTTTCTGAACATTGAGAATTGTATATTTCTAAATAATTTTCTATTAAAATATCAATAGTTTCAATTAAAAAATCAGCTTCTGTAAGCAAGTAGACACCTAATGGAAATGACAAAAATATATACACAATCCTAAATATTTCTAACTCTGTTTTATCTTTGTCAAAAATTTCAAATGTTGACATGCAACAAGGAGTAGGAGTATGACTTTCATATTTTCTTAATTGTAAATTTCGAACAGACTGTATTAATACTGGTATAATAGTATTTGTATTTGCCCATAACATTCCTTGTGGTAGAATTAATATATTTCTACATATGTTTAACAAATTAATTAAAATTTCATTATGCAATATTTGTAAATTTCTTTCTTCTGATTCTGAAAATTGTTTCAAATAATCAAATACATTAATAAATTGTTTATGTATTTTTAAATGTTCATTCATTAAATCCTTTTTAACAGAATTAATAACACTGATGTTGTTTATCAATTTTACTAAATGATTTAAGAAATATATAGCTTCAGAATGTTCAACAGATTTCAACTTATCAACAGAAAATAGTAAATGTTGCAATATTTCAATTTTATCTTCAATATTCCATTTGTAAATTTCATTTTCCCACAAACAATAAATTGTTTTACACAAGAAATTCATTCCAGACTTTAAAACATCATTATTCATTTTATAAAACTTCCACATATAGTTTATTAGAGAGTTGCAAATATTTGTAACTCCTGAAACAAAAGACATGTCATAATAGACACTAAGAATTAGTTTGCATCCTTCAGAATATTGTAATAATCTTCCAACAAAATAAATTGAAAAAAATGTTTCAAAATTATTATTAAGTCTTTTCTCATTTGAAGTTTCAAATACACTTAAAGCCCACTCAATAATCTTACTATATTCCTTCAGTGTATCTATAACATACTGTCTACTTAGATTACTATGCATCCAATTTTTTAACCAGTTTGCTTGAGGATCAACAATAATAAAAACTTTTAAAAAATTATAATTTCTTTCCTCTTCTGTCAATGATTCTAATATTTCTCGAAATGTATTTCGAATCATTTCTTTGATAATATGCTGAGGATATCTCAACCAACTTTTTACAATATATTGCTGAAACTTATTTACTGTTATAAAAACTTGAAGGAAAATTTCTTTTTTAGATAAGAAATATACACTTTGCATTTCCTGACTTTCTTCAATAGAATGTAACGAGAGAAACTTAAGAAGACTATCGTAACTTTCTTTAACCACTTGTGGCGAAGAACAACTCAACATCTTTATATAAACATTTAAGCATAATTCACTAACTATTGATACTGAATGCAATAATGTATTTTGTAAAGATATCTCTAAAGGAGTCCAAATTGATGGCAATATCAACTGATCCATAGAGGATATTCGATTGAGTATATTTAAAGCTTGTAACTTTGATCGAACCAATGAACTCTGCAATAACTTTTCTGCATTCTGTAAATCTTTAACATCAACAATTAAATAACCACATTGGTTTAATGTACTGCTGAGTGAAGAATTAATGGATACAGAGCTATGATTTGGATTCGTTTCCCATTCACAATGATTTTCTTTCACATTTTGATTGAAAGTTATTTTATTTTGTTGGACTATATCCATTAGAAATGATCGTCGAAGTTTTTTAAAAACATCCGATTCACAAGTCGATTTACTGACTTCGTCCACTATTTTATCTGTCGGTACAGTTTCGCCTTCCACATCAAATTTAGATTTACGAATTAAAGTCGTAATATAATCTTTTAAATTTTGATTAAGTTTACTTCGAACACTTTGATAAAGTTCTTTTTCTTCGTCTGATTTAAAATTCATTATATGATTTTAAAACGTTAAAACTTCTTACTAAAATACCATTTAAATAACCAAGTTATCGATCACGTGTATGAACAATAATCCCAGCTGATACAACGAAGCGTTATTAACCTTCCTCCCATTGGTCTATTTAATAATTTGTGAACTTATACGTTATTGGTCAAATGCAAATCTATTAACTAACATATTGACTGATAAATCATATATTTTTAATATTTATCATAAATTGTTTAGTTTTTTATAGTATAATTAATCTATAGAAATAAAACATTATAATTGATGAATTATTATTAAATATTAATCGAGCTGGTGTCTGGAGGGAGGGCGCTTCGTGTTTATTAATGGTGGATCACAAAACCATGTGCGTTTTGTTTACAAAGATTTAAATCGTGTTTCCGTTTAGTTTATATTTATGTATTCCATTGAACAATATATATATATTGATGTATAAGATATTTCGCTGCCTATTGCCAATAAGATATGGCGAATTATTTGAATGTAAAATTCAAAATAAAAGATATTTGGCGAGAACTGTTTTAGGTATTGAAACGAGTTGTGACGATACAGGAGCTGCTGTAGTTGATGAATTTGGAAATGTATTAGGAGAAGCACTTAGTTCGCAACATCAGTTTCACCTCGAGTATGTTTTATAAATTAAAAATATTATCTTTTATTTAATAAACTACATTTCTGAAATTATTTCTTAGTAATGGAGGAATTATTCCGACGTTCGCAAAGTATTTACATAGAAATGAAATCAGTAAGATTGTCCAATCTGCTCTGGATAAAAGTAATATCACATTAAAGGTATAGACTTTATTTAATTAGTCACTTAATTTGTTCTGTTGAAGATAAATTTGACAATGTTTTATGGGCTGAACTTGTTGGCTGGATCCCACATTGACTTTGCAATGTGTCATCACTGGAACCTGGGCCGCTTTTTTGCATTGCCCAGGCTCTGGGATGAGAATTTGGCTGATGTCGGAGTCCAAAAATGTGAATAGTAGCATGCTGACTGACCACCACATGTACCTGAGATCTTTGAATAATGCAACACTGGGAATGCTTACATGGCTTTTCACAGTGGATGATCCTTCCAGGCTTCCAGCTGCACAAGGCTGTTAATTACACCTGGCAATTCTGTTCCTAGATACCACTTGGCCAGTGGTGCTCTCAGACTACCAAAAAGGGGCACACAAGCTATAAAAAAAGGCATCATACATTATATAAAATATATAGTATTTGTGTAATACTACAGTATACATATACAGTTATTCCGTGATTAATCCCTAAATGCTATTGTGTATATCAATATTACATTAATCAACTACAATGGTATTTTGGTATTCAACTGAACAATCATGACTCGCTAGAACAAATTTTCAATTTGTTTCAAAACCTTGTGACCTGCTGTGGGGGGGTAGCACAAGTGGGAGGAGGCATACGAAGGGAGAGAAATTAATTAATTAATTAATTACTTACAGCAAACAGAGCTATGTATTTCAAAGTCAATGTGGGATCCACTGAACCAGTCTGGCCAAATCTTTTGATATATATATGGTAACATATGCATAATATATACTTGGTTGATTCATAAGTTGGTTAAGATTTTCTTGAAATAATCTTAAGATATATTGGCTAACTGACTTTTGGACCACTTTGTTCTATATAATGCCTGATTTGAAAAAGAATAGAGATGCATCTTGTTAAATTTTTTGAAGGTCAAAAAATTTAAAGTAGAAAACAAGTACGAACTGTACTCTATGGTCAAGTCTGTATTGGAAACTTTAGCAACAGGAGTGTGTTGTTCTTATAGCATTATGTAATTTTATAGGGGTCTAGTGAACAGCATTATGATACATTACAAGGTGGTGGGAGGATGATAAAATCGTAAAAATTGTAATTTATCGAAGATCCCTACCTTTTTGTTTTACTCTTTTCATCCTGTCAGCATTAAGAGGATTTTTTTAAAATTATGCCCATCTTGGTTTGGCAAGGCTTGTAATGGTGATAGTCAAGGGACAAAGCCTGACATATTCAGAACAGATCACCCATTAAAACTATTGTGTTTCTGACCTGAAACAGAACTGAGTTTCTCAAGTTGGCAGGTAGAAGCCTAATGTGTTATCAAATCTATTTCTATGATTCACTGTTCTGTTCTCTAGTTGTTACTTATATAGTAATACACATGTGACATACTTTGTGTTGACTTTTATTTTTTACAATATTTTTATTTTTAAATAACAATCTGTTGTTTTATGAAATAAAAGTTGAAAAATAACAGGTTTTCAAATAGCAACATATCACTATTAATTGCACATCAGATCATGGCCATTGAGAGGGGAGAATTGGACATGGCTTCTTGGTCACTACAATAAAATAACTTAATGAGTCGTCTGCCATATAGAAGTGACATAAAAAATTTATTTTTTGTAAAGCTAAATGAACAAATCAAATAAATCATCAAGTAGAATATTTGTTATCAAATTAAATCAATAATTTGACTTCATATACTTGTTAAATCTCGTAACACAGCAATGTTGGACTTATCATTCCTATATGATAAGTCTTACATTTGTTGAGTTGTGAGATTTAAGAAGTACGGCAAAGAATAGGTCAAGAAGCTTTAAGCACAATTTGACTTTAGTTCTAAGGGTTATTTTAACTCAAATTACATTGTGACCAATGCATTAAATATGATGCCAAGTTTCATTCATTTTTTCACATAATTCTATTGAATATAATTTTTATATAATGCAAAATTGTGCTGCTAGTTTGATAATGCCAGTGTTAAGAACTCTAGTAGTGGAAAAATTTATTTATTTAAAAAAGAATTAACTAATCCAAACATTGTTTTTGTTTATAAGTAGTGATTTTATAATTTTGTACATAAATGAGTTTAAACTTTTTAATTGTGGTATTTTGAAAAACAAAAATTCAATTTTATTTAGGATAATAATTCAAAATTCAAATAAGATATTATTATAAAGAGATTTCTTTTAATTAGAAAAAAATTTTATAGGATGTTTCTGCTATTGCAACCACAGTAAAACCTGGTTTGAAAGAATCTCTTTTAGTTGGACTTAACTATAGCAAAAGCCTTATACAAGATTGTAGAAAACCATTTTTACCTATTCATCATATGGAAGCACATGCTCTAGTAATAAGGATGATTGAATTGTAAGTATTATAATCTTTAATTAAATAAACAATATATTTATTTTTTTAATTTGTTATTTAATTTTTAATTGTTTTGTAAGATGGATCTGCCCATTAATTACAAGTACAGTTTAAAACAGAAGAGGGTTGCAAAAAGTAAATCATTGTACTGTACATAACAGGTAGGGAGAGGGTGAAAAGTAGCTCAAAAGCTCTATATGTAATCACAATGCACTTAAGTTTAGTGGTGTCTTGACCCTGTATATCATACTTTTCCTGTTAATGATGAAATCATGCCAGTCATGTATCTAACTTCATTCAGGAGAAAATTTTTGAATTGAAATAATGTAACTTCCAGCCCAAAGTATAATTCATTGGGGCTTGCTGCCCCTAAGCTTTTCATATTTTATCTCAACTTTCATCTATATAATACCATTCTTGAGATTAAGAAAGGACAGACAGACAGATGATGGTGAGAATTTATAGGTCTACAATTTTTTCAAATTTCAGCCCAATTAATGAGCGACCCTGTGACCCAAAAGTGTTTTGAATGGATATATTTTATAATAANTAAAGACACAGTATTTTTTTTCTTTTTATAATTTAGATTACTGTATTTTATTTATTCAATTGTATCTTTCTTATTCAAAGAATTGAGTATGTCATGTTCAGAAAAAAGAAGATACAAAACCGGGTTCTTGTTGATGAAAATCATCTTCGATTTTTCCGTTCTGACTGGGCTAGATTTTTTAAGCTTGATGCAAGGCTGTCGAAACTACGTTGTATAATAAACGTTTCTTACTTAACAGTGATAAAACAACAAGTTTTTATTTCGTATGAACTCGTGTGCATGATTCATCTTCCATCTCATTCTCTCTTCAATCATTCGAACTAACATATTCGTCATGTTTTTATTTTTTACCACAGATTTTGGTATGGCACAGAAAAAGCAGCTCCCTAGACTATAAAAAGGGATACAAGCTATAAAAAAGACATCATACATTATGCAAAAAGCTTCAAAATTTATTCAATGTCGGATCAGCGCTCCAGCAACCAGTGTCAGGTTTTTGCCTTGAAAACAAGAAATGTTTCTTGTTTTCAAGGCAAAAATCAAGTTTTGGTCAACATATGACGAAGTTACAAGAGACAATAGACAAATATCGTTCGTTAATTTCTTTTATATTTGCAGAATAATCTAGAACAGCGGTCGGAAACCTTTCTCACCTCACGGACCACTAAAGTCACAATTTTGAATCCCGCTGACCATTATCATGAATTTTTTTAAACGATACAAAATCTGTAGAATAATGATCATAAAAGTTCAATTTTACTATATTAATATGAAACTCGCATGTTTAATTATAACAAATTAATGCAAGCATAAAGTTCATTGCTGCTTGTTTGAAACAAATTTATGGATTCTTCGCGCTTTTCCATTATTTATTGATAACAGTCACTTCGTTTTTGGTTTTAGATTCGAATAAAAAATCCCAATGAGTGAAAAGAACAACTAATCATTTTGCATTTCTATCGTAATACTTCGCGTAACCTTCGGTTGATCAATGTTCAAATTTCTCCACGGACCACCCAAATTTTCTCGCGGACCGCCGGTTGCCGACCGTTGGTCTAGAAGTCAGGAAATTTCTTTTTGTTGATAATGAAATTTGGGGCACTCCTTGGGATTAGTAAAAGGGAAACACAGACGAAAAGGAAATAAGAAAACATCCAAAAATCACCAATTGTAACATCAAATTAAGACGTAAAAAGATTAGGCATGAAATTTAGAGTTAAGATGAGCATTTTTACTTTTTGCTCTTTCTGCTCTATGAGCACTAAAAGGGCCTTTTTCCATACATATTGTAAATTCGGCCAAGCCAGCAAGTCTATAATGGGGGCCAGGGTCCATATTTTGACATATGTGGAACTTGGGTACATGAAGAATTCCTGAAGTGTAAAACTATCTCGGGTCCTTCTAACATGTAGGGCTAAAAATAATTTAAATGTTAATAACGAGTAAAATCGTCATTAAGTTAACGAGTAAAGTCTTTATCTCCCCACTCTTCGACATTTAATACCAAAATTTAATAGTATCAATCACTCTAATACACAAACCTCGTTGCATAATTTCAGAAATTTTCGATAAAAAGCACAGGACTTATTAAGCTTCAAAGAGGAAGAACAAAATAGTGCCTGCCTTCCCCAACACTAACATCTATAGTCTATACACACAGAAAAAATAGAATTTATGATGACAGGTTATAAGGAAAATATGTTTAATGCAAAGAACATAATTAGTAAACTTATTGTGTATTTTATAATTAATATTTATAATATGACCATGAAGTCCATATACATGCTAACTGAAGGTACTTATACAAGGTCTGTTCAAAAAGTATCGGACCTTTGGTCGGCAAAAATAAATTTATTGACTTTGAGGTACAAAACCCTAATCCCCTTCAAAGTAGTCTCCTTGGTAATGTATACACTTCTCCCAGCGTTCCTGCCATTGCTGGAAACACTGCTGGAACGCATCTTTTGGAATGG